GTAAGAAAATCATATTTATTTAACATTTATAAATTTTGGAAAATTTACACAATACGATTTCAATACACTATATCTTGAAAATTGTTTGAACACCAATTAAATTTCTTAAGCATAATTAATTGCATAAAGAACAAAATATTAGGAAAAGGAAATGGAAATATCAGGAATAGCATGAATGTCCACAGATAAAAAGGGAGGATTAACAAGAATGTCCCAGGTCTCATTTTCATTGAACGGTCTGATTTTTAAAAAATTGCAACAGTTAGAAGTAATGCGAGAATATACTCTGTGTTGTAGCACCACTAATTACTTTCTCATGTACTGCTTACGCAGTATAGAGAAACTATTGTAATGCTGTGGGGGAAAATGGCAATTTTTCGGAACATATTGCCAGACCCTGGTAACGAAAAACTGGACAAATCGTGTTCCTAGTAAATTATGATAGGGTGATTACGGAGGTGATGAATTCTACAGAAGTACACGAAAAGTTATAAATGCCTCCTAATAACTTACATTGACATGCTTACACAGGCTCTCGGATTACTGCATTAATAGCATTGGCAAACAGTGACATTTAGAATTGATCTCTTGGGGACCCAGTTTTTTAGCTGGTAAATGGAAGATAGCCTGTCAAACAAGGCGAACACGAAACAAGCTTCAGAAATGACAGACTAATAAAAACCATGGGACCCGTCCCCTGAGTTCACAAGAATGTAAGGTGCGAAGACTGTACGTCCGGTTGGTATCGTATGCTTTCTCTACATTAAAAAAAAATAATAATAATAAAAAGAAGAAGCAGCTACCAAGTATTGTAATAAGTGGAGATTGTGTGACAAGAGTGACTAGATGGTCCATGGTTGACTTCAGCTTCCTGAAACCCGAATAGATGTAAATAATTTCTTTGATTCAGAAGTCTAATCAGCCGTCTTTAACTTCCACTCTACACGCTTGCATACACAGTTTGTGTGCGAGATTGGATGGGAACATGGTGTTGTTTTCTTCATTTCTTCTTTGGGGATTGGAATAACAATAGCAGAAACCTACGCAGCTTTATCAGAGCCAGACACAATTAGGATTCCAGGGGTATGTTGTGAGCCTCACGGCAACTTCGGAATGGTAATTGAGGCAGCAATTCCGGTGACAGTAAAATGGGCAACCACATCCTATTCCGAAATTTGTATTTCTTTCCCGAATGTTTCCCACTCAGCTCGATAAATGAGCCAGAGAGGAGAGCGAATAACATTCCCATCGGACATACCTAAATGAATCACAGTAGGGAAGTGGTCACTGCTATACAGGTTGTCAGGAAATGTCCACTCAAAACGGTCCTACTCCAGGCAGGGTTGAGAGCAAGGCAGTCCCCCACGATCAGGAAAGGCGCTGGCAATTGGGAAAACATCTTCAAGTTATTCGTGTGACACGGTTCGCTCATGTGGAATTGCACACCGTTAGCGATTTTCGCGTTAGCAGGTTCATCCGAACGCATGCGGTTTGAGGGTCGGTTCGAACGCTCTGTTCCTCAGAGAAGAAGTCACGGTTAAGTACGGCGAACTCTCTGTGAGCGTGAAGCCCGTCATTTTGGTCGAACCGATAAGTAAAATAGCCTCGCAGAAATAGGAGAGAATGGGAAAAAATCTGATATTCCTGAGGGCTGAGATGGGCTACAGCGAGATATTATCAACCTCAGTTATTCTGAACGTGTACGGAAACAGTTTAAGTTCAATGAGAGACATGCTGGAGAATTATTTCTGTTTCTTCTTCTTTCTCACTTTCTGAAAGGTGGTTCAGGAACTTCCGGGGATTTCTTCATCCACAACAAAGTCATCGTGACTGCTGTCGATGTCACCTCTGTCGGAAAATTTTCCCGTTTTTGACACGAGTAACCGAGATCAAGAAGTAGACTGGGCTTCGAGGACGAACGTTTGGAAGCGATCCCAACTGGCATCGACTTCCATTGAGGGCTCAGTATATTCAGGCTTCGGTCCACTTCCATGACAGGTGAAGTTTTTTTCTTGATTTCTTGAACTTGGCTTTTCATATTATATTCACACCTTAGAGGGTCGACGTATCTTCTGGGAGGTTGTCAGGAGACATCTGACTAAAGAAGTGCGCAAGTAGGCCGCAAGCATTGTTTGGCAAATCGCTGTACTTTGAGGCTCTGGAGAAGGATCGTGACAGGTCTTTTGGGTTTCTCGCCAGGAACCGACGTTTGGCCTCAATGAAGGGATCTTTTTCGGTGACTGATCTGATCTAAATCTCCCTTTTCCTGACAAAAGTAGGGCCCCGGTTGAAGTTAGGCGAATGGTCGCCTTCACAGTTGACACAGTGCGGTGTAACGCAGGATTGTGGTTCGTGCATTGATTTGCCATTTTTTCACACACTGGGCTCTCTGACATGCATCTTTGTTGTGTATGGTCGAAACATTGGTCCTTGGAGCAGCGCAAAGGATTAAGCAATACTGCCGCACGCAAAGGTTGTAAAATCTGCGACTGATCCTTTCCGAGAGGGATGGGCAATCAAACGTACGAATCTGTGTCGAAGTAGGGTTCGCATTGCCAAGCTCTTTCCTTTTGATTGTCTATATTTCAGTGACCCCTGTCTCTTGAAGAAAGAGACGCTCTTTGTCACTCTCCGAAGCGAAGTTGCAACTTCTTTGCAGATGTTGAGGGCTGAATTTGCGGTCACTACCACCTGGAGACCGGCAATCTGCTTGAGTTGGGTGAATATGCTCATCGGTGCGTGCTTCACAGAGTAATACCATTCCTTTGTCGTACCGCCGCTTGGATCTTCCCAAAAGTATCCTTTATGGCTCGCGCCAGCCGAGAATACTGACATGTTTAAAAACTTTCCCGTCCTCGACTCATGTTATTAGGAGGAAACGCGGCTTTTTGGCTTGTCAGTTTCCGTGACAAAAAACTGTCAAGTTTTAGTTAATCGCAGTGACGGCTGTTGGGGATGGGCTGCAGCACGTCTGTCCTTGTCAGAATTATTTAATTTCTCTTTGATTTTAAAATAAAATATGCAAAATAGTATCTCGTTCAATTACATGACCAATATAGCCCACTGCTGTGGCGTTTGTAACGCGAAAAGCTGCCGCCGTGTTCTGCTGCGATTCCATTTCCCTCCCTGGAACTGCCAGTCCGAAGTACAGGTATAAATGTTTACGCTTCCTCCGCTGTTTGTGTCTCGAGGGGCTGCAGAAAAGGCATTCACATCCCAGTTTTGCGCGACGTTTACTCGTCGTTTTAAAGCTCTGGCGGATGAATGATATAGTTTAGGTGCTGTATATTGTATATTTAGTTTTTTTTTTACTTTCTCGCAAACGAGTAGCGAGAAATTTATGTAATGCTGTGCGAAATAACAGCGAATTCTTGGCAGAGAAACTCTTATTACATGACTCTACAAATAAAAATGTGGATAAGTCCAGTAGCAAAATTTAGAAATAAAAGTCCTCTAACACGTGAGGTAGCCAGAATTCATGTTTTGTGAGTCCTTGAAAACGAAAATCAAATGACGGCAAAACGTATCTGTCCGTTTGTGAATAATGCTAGCGGCTAAACCGTTCAGTCGATTTTCTTCAATAGCGATATTCCCCAATCGATCTGGCTGACGTTGCGCCCCCCATGAATTTAAAACCGATATTTAAATTTTTTGGAGTACTTTACATGAAGCCCCTCAGACATTTAAAAAAATGACCGAATCTGGCGAATGTGCGACGTAATTGAGGTGCTGTATATTGTATTCTTCTGTTGCTTTTTTGCTTTCTCGCTTTAGAGAGTGAGTTGTAATGTTACGCGAAATAACTGCGAGTTTTTGGCAGAAAAACTCATATTACAGGGCCCTGGTAACGAAAAAAGGGAATAAATCCAGTTGCTAAATTAAGAAATAAATATCTTCTAACTTGTGGTGTAGCTAGAATCCTTGTTTTGTGGGTCCTTGAAACCGCAAAATCCAATGATCTGCAAATTCAGCATCCGTCTGCCTGTGAACTACTCTAGCGGCTAAACCGTTCCGGCAATTTTCTCCAAAATTGATATTCCCCAATTGATCTGGCTGATGACGCGGCCCATTGAATTTGAAATAGACATTTAAATTTTGGGGGGTACTTCGAATGAAGCCCCTGGGACGTTCTCAAAATAAAAATAAAATAAAAAATGGCTCCATCGTTTTTGATTAAATTTCATTGGATACTGTAAAGGGCGTTTAAGAGAATGGCGCTAGTCTCATTTTCGTTAAAAAGCCTATTTTTTTCGAAAATTGCAAAAGTTGAAAATTCTTTCCGAGACTTCCAAAATCTAAAATATTTATGATAAAGACTATTTTCCTTACTGAATTCTGTTTCTTAAAGATATATTTTGAAATAAGGTCAGGTGCAATTTTTCGAAAATTTGAGTACTTTTCGCGAAATTTTGCGAAAGCACGTGCTTAGCACTACTAGTTCGTGTTTAGAATGGATGTGAATAGCAAGTCTGTTCAATATTTAAAACCTGTAATATTCAGAAGCTTAAGCTCTTTAAGAAATATATATATATATATATATATATATATATATATATATATATATATATATATATATATATATATATATATGCTGATGATAGACCTGCACCAGTACTGAACATGTCTCAATACATTTTCTATTTTAGCATGCAGCCCCCCCCCCTTCCTCCCATTAATTAAAGGTACCAGCTGCCACTAGTTAATCACTTATGTCAAAGCCAAGCCTCGTCATGAAATACAACATACGTAGCAAAGCGACTTAAAATAAATTTTTGTAATTATGTAATGACTATGCTTTCCCGCTCATTGGATTTCATTGTATGCTTTCGAAAATACTAGTTCTTTTGTTAGCTGGACTTAACTTTTTAAATCCACGAGGTTGAATCTGTGACATAGGTGCAGTAAAATAGTGACTGTTGCAGAGTTCAAGCTGAACAAGAATGCTTGCAATGGGTCTGTGAAACTTAAGGACCATTTTGCTTTAAGAAAACCATGGGAATTCTGTATTTTTAACTGAATACATTTAATTTATGTAGTAGTTTTATTGCATTTTTATATAAAAACATTGAAGAAAATATAAATTGAAGATAGTTACAGAGTTTGTGTACAAAATTAGAAGCAAAGTTTAATAATTTACAAGTAAGTTAAAAAATTGTTTCACATTAGAACTTTCTAAAGGGAATATATTTTTAAACTTTTGATAAAAGTGTACGTAAAGGATTTTTAAATGATATTAGGAAGACAGTATCTTTCCCCAGGCAACCAAGATTTAAGTACAAATGTAAATTTTGAGGCCACTCAAGGTGGATTGTCCACTAATCATGCCACTGTGTATTATTTGTGTCAGATGGTATGATTATTTTATTAAAAAAAAAATTCATTTAACCTTAAGGCACCTATGCAAGCCAGCTGATGCAGAGCTTGAAAATGTAATATATACAATGTTTGACAAAAATATGCTAAAGTTGTTTATAAAAATCAAGGAGCAATAACAAAAATCTTAAATAATAAAAACAGTTTTCAAAATTAATACCACAAGAGAAAATAAGGTGAAGAAAAAATATTTTGAGTACAATTTTCTTACTTAATGGAATGGTTTGTTTGATGTAAATCTACCAATGAGGTCTAAAGCCCATTTGGGCTGATCAGATGGAACCATGTGCCCTGCATCACGGACAAGAACCTCAGTTAAATTGCCAGCAGTCTTGACATATCCTGCAATATCTTTCCCCACATGCCAAGGAAATCGAGAAGCAACCTTATACTCAGCAGCACTGCTCCAATGTAATGTATTCAGATAAGACACTGTAAGAGGATAGGCAACTATGATATCCAATTGACCATTGTACACTAAGACACGATAATGTTCCAAGAGTTCTTCAATCCATGGTTTAACTGATTGCATGAAGTCTTCCATCAAGTTTCTGCCTACAGTACTATCGTCATGAAATTCTGCATTGCCTACATGAATTGCTTCACGTACATGACTTTGTTGTATGTAACTGCTGAAATCTCCTCCAAAACTTTCTCCATTAGCATACAAATAATTGTAATATGAAGAGAAGCCTGTTAAGCCACCAATCTTTGCTAAAATATCTTCAAAGACCTGTAAAGATTTGTTGGAGATCATTAACAAACTGTTTAAAACTGTAACTGGGTTAAAAATATACGAAACTGAATATAATGTTACCCTATCACCAAGTATTTCTTTGCCAATTATTGTTTTCAAGCTAGTAATTTCTCTGAACTTCTTTGAGCATTTCACAATAGCTTGTAAAGATTCCAACTTAACTGCCTTCCAAAAATAATTTTAAAACAATAAAATAATTCCACTGAAGAATAACACACTTGTAAGGCAGCATTTATTTTATATCACAATTGGAACACAGTCATGTTAAAAAGGTAGTAAATTTGAGAAAAATTCTCATTGTAAAAGAAAATACTGATTTCAAGCTACTGAACTTGCCTCATATGCTTTTGCCCACTGTTTATTTTCCATGTATTTTTGTCCTAAGTCTTCTTGCACATGAAGTTGATTACATGTATTAGAGTCTATAAGTCCAAGTTGATAGACATAATCCGCATATTTTAACATATGAAGTGGATCACTTAAACCATTTCCCATTGCTAGACCTGCAAAATGAGAATATAAAGAATAATAAATATTTAGAAATCCATAGAAATTTAACTTTCTAAAATACTGACCATTAAGATTAATTTTTATTGTTGCATTAGGGTTCTTGGTATGTATTGTGTAGGAAAGTGCAGGCACATATTTTCCTAAAAACAAAATAAAAAAATTAGACTGTCATTCAAATGTGTACTCTATTAAAAAAGTGCTCTGAATCATTTACCTGCATAAGATTCTCCGGTTACAAAAAATGGATTTGATTGCAGTTCTGGGAAAAGTTTAAAAAATTGAATAACAGCTGAATAAAGATCATTACCTACAGCAGTTTCATTTTTAGCATAACCTCCATCTGTAAAGCTGTACCCTGCAAATTCAGAATTGGGAAAACTTAATAGGTCAATTTGATACTTTTAGTTACATAATTAAAAAGAAATATGCTTTTAGATTTTCTTTTTAATTACATTTATACATACACACAAAGCAACCACTTGAGTACTTTGATTTTTAGTTCAAGTAACTTTTGTTAATTCAAAATTAAATAATGTTCCTTTTAAACATGCCATATCTTTTACGTAATGAAATTATTAGGAAAAACAAAAACGACTATTAAAATATTATTATAAGCTCTTAAACGATTTATTTTATTATATAATTCACATACTGCAAGGGCAACCACTGTTTCTAATTATTATTAACTGTGACTTATAATTAAGAGGCTGATTTTAATGACCTTAAACATCGCCAAAAATGATCAATAAAATGCTCTTTAAACAATTTAAAAATGCCCTGATGGCAAAGAATGTGTAAAAATGTGATGAAAACCAGTTCAGGTGAACATCTCAAGCTGTTGGATATACATCAAGTAACATAATATGTTACTGATATAATTGAGGTGCCTTCCTATCATTGAAGTGAACTCAGCTTGCAAACTTTTAGTTTGGAATCTCATTTACCAGAGAATCTCTGTCTTTAATTATCCAGAAATTGGCTGAATTGACAATGGGGCTGTAGGTGACACACGAACCTTGGATTATGTACCAACAACAGCTGACATTACAATTTCAGAGCGAATAAATCGAATAGGCTACTCAGAAATTCTGTGGAAAACATTTGTTCAAAATCTCATAAATATCATATTATTGAGAGCACATCTCAAAAATATTATTAAAAGCAAGTATCATTAAAATGATATTAAAATGAATGAAAACAGTGAAAAATGCATTAAAATGACAGAAAACAGTAGCAAATTACTTATTAGTCGAAATTGACAAAAAATAGAAAAGATAAAATCTGTAATATTCTTTTATCATAACAAAATTAATGTGTACACAAAATGGCATTGTTCTAAAGTGAAAAAAAAAAGATATTTCATTAGAATTCACCCCCTATTTATAATTATTAAACCATATTACAAATACTTAACTGTTCCTATAAAATTAGTAATGATGTATTGTATTAAGACATTAATGCCTAAGCGGCTAATTATTTTTTTTTGGGGGGGGGAGGTCATTAATTCTGGGCAGTAATTCATTCTTGTTTCATTCATGCTCATAAGAACTCAGGTTTAGGAAAGAAGAATCGCTTTGACAATGCTGACAAGCATGTCTTTTTAGTGAAAGTTTACTTTGGCACTAAATCTTTTTCAAAAGAATGGGGAAATTTTTGATACCAAAAACGTCAATTTCCAACAAGTCGACAATGTGTAGAATAATTCAGCCTTTCAAAGACATGGTGGAGCAAGATAAGAAAATGACTTCGCGGTCACACTCACGTTTTAAAGAAGTTATACTAGAGATTGAGGAGGTTTCGAACCACTCATGTGAAACTTCGCTCTCGAAATTACGACAGCGCAATGATTCTCTCAAGACTGTTTATGAGGTAACAAAGGAATTGAAAATGCGGTCTTACAAGTCGTAGACCCTTCCAGGTATCCCTCCAAAAGCATCTGAACGGAACGCGCTAATGCATTTGCCATTGGTTTAGCGGCCGTCCATAAATTAACGCAATTTTGAAGTATTTTGGATACCCCCTCTCCCACCTGTCAAGAATCAGTAACGTGAGCTTGACTCGCCTAAATAATTACTAAATATTGCTTACCACAACACCCCTTCTTGTAAATGCAAGAGGGGGAAATAAATTATTGCACAAGAAAAACAATTTGCTTTCATTTTACTTTTTTCTTCTAAATTTGTTGCGTCTATACACGCAACGTGTCTCCTAGCTCCTAAGAAAGTTAAGAGCATCGTAGATTAATCATCCGTTCATTACTATTGTAGGAGTAATTCTCATTTATTATGCGCCCAGTGTCCTCTAGGGGCCGCTGGGTGGTCAAGTCACGTCAGCCAAAATTCATATTTTATGGGTCCTTGATACCGAAAAATCAATTGACGGCAAAACGTGTCTGTCCGTCCGTGAACAACGCTAGCGGTTAAACCGTTCAGCCGATTTTCTACAATTTATATTCCCCAATCGGTCTGCCTGTTGTCATGGCCCCTTGAATTTGAATTTTGGGGGGTACTTTACATGAAGTCCGTGAGACATTTTCAAAATTAAAAAGAATGGCGCCATCGATTTTAATTAATTTTTGTTGTTGGGTAGGGCATGGCCTAGGTCTCATGCTGTTTAAAATCTCCGATTTTTCGAAAATTGAAAAAAATCGATTTTTTCGGCTTCTTCCTACAACTAAAATATTGAAGATAGAGATATTTTCCCTTAATAAAATATATTTCTTATAGATAAGACTTTGAAATAAGATCATGTACAATGTTTCGAAAATTTGAGAATGTTTGCGTAATTTAGCGTGAAGCGTAGGCAATTTTTAATTTTTGTTTAAACATTTTTTTCTCAAAAACGGCGCCATAGTTTTTGATGAAATTTGTTTAGCAGATTACGGGCCCACCATAGCCGAATTCACTAAGAAATTAATAATAGTAATAAAATAAGACTTTCAGTCTACAACAACGCTACGAATTTTCGTAAGGCGTATAAATTTCCGGTTGATGTACAGACTGCGACAAAATCGAAAAATGGGAAACTTTGCTCCTGAGACCTTGTCATACTTTAATACATAAATTAACTTTCGAAGTTTTAAGTTCTCATTCATGTGTCTTAAACAAAATATTGAGAATGCTAGTAAATTTTGAATTAATTGGGTGTGAAAACATCCACCTGGCCTTCAACATAATTTTATTTAGAGGGATCTCAGAAAGTGAAATCAGATGATGATACTTGACTATTAGAAATTAGAATGATGAGACAAGGTACCTGTTCCTACTGGATTGTCTATGTATATCACATTATGCTGCTTAATCCATGAATACTTTCTTGGAAGTAACTTGCTGCCTGATTTGTCAACAATGAAAGGCCCATGCTCCTCAAACAATCCATAAAGCGACGATGCTCCTGGACCTCCTTGAAGCCACAGAATCACAGGGTCATCAGAAATACTTCCCTGCAAAAAAATGGCATAACAAATACAAGAAAATAATCAAATAAAATGAAGAAATATGAACAATTACTAACCTGAGAAGGAAAAAACCAAAAGAACAAGTTGGAATTGAAGTTCTTATTTACTGTAAAGTATCCTGAATAACTCTCTATTCCTCTGTCACCAAATAAAGGTAAAACTCTAGATTCTTTTCTGGCTTCTGCAATCTTACCAGACTCAATTAAAGGCGTTAGTATTAAAGGTTTCCCAGCCGATTCTGGAATTGGCAGCTTTTTTATTTTAGGATAAGGGTTAAAAACTCCAACAGCAACATGTACACAAATAAGAACTAAGAGTATTGGAGATATAATTAACTTCATTCGTAAAAGCAACATGTCACTTTTACTATTTGAGACTTCAAAAAAGTAAATATTACAGCTTTCTGAAAATTAATTGTTCAAATTATTCTCCGAAAATATTTTATCTCCCTTTCAACGAAACATAAAATAGGCATTACGGTAATGACTACTCCCATTACCCACAGACTGGGTTGTTTTGACACATGAGACGTTCGACGTTCTATCAAGCTCTCGCTGTCCTTCCTTGTATGACTCTGTCATCCAACCAGCAATAGCCGGCAGCAGCAACTTGCTGTTCATATATGTTCATTACTGCCAACAGCAAACACCACTTGCGGACCGCGGTGCTACACCTGAGCTTGTGCACCTGTACCAACCTATACCAATAATCCCTATATCACCCTACGCTGATGTACACTTGCGCCAGCTTTATTCACCATCGATTACTCAACTCATCAACCTGTAGTTTACAATAGACCTCAAAAGAAAATCTTTGAATATATGTAGTGGGTGACGTTCAAATATGACTTCATTACCGTTTCTATTGTGATATAACGAACTAAATATATTTTCCTTTCGTATTTTACTTGATTTCGAATTGCTATGGAACAAATTCATGACTTTGGTGGTGTCTTACTGTCAATGCCGAACATCCGGTTAGTGACAGCTAAGTGGTTGATAGAGGCTGCCAAAAGAAAAGAAATGCCTAACTCCCGCAGTTGTTCGTAATATATGAAATTTTAGATTTACAGAATTACTAGAATGAGTGGATGGATTTGCTCTTCGATAAGTGTAGTTAGGCAAGCTCAGAGAATTAGGTAGCCTTCGTAGGTAAATCATACGAAGACAAATATGGCATCCAATGGAACTTGCAACTTGGAAAAGGCAACAGTCGAGGAATTAAAACTGGAAATTGAACGACTTAATCGAGAATTAGATCAAGCTAGTAGTGAAAAGGTTCAGTCTGCTCAGTATGGTTTGGTTTTACTGGAAGAGAAAGAAGCGTTGCAACTAAAATGTGAAGACCTAGAAGCTTTGTATGAGAACTCCAAGCATGATCTTGAAATAACTCAGGAGGTATGTTGCATTTTTATCAATTAATTTGTGTTGTGTAAACTTTGAGTTGATAGTCAGGTACACAGGTTAGTGTATTTGAATGTAAATAATTAGGTGTAATGGTAAATAGTAATCAAATTGATGATACTGACCCATCTTCATGGTTTATTGCATGTGAACATTGTGACAATTCTGTGTTTTTATACAGGCTTTAGCAAAGTTCCAAACTAGTCATAAAGTGACTACTAAAACAGGAATTGAGCAAGAAGAATCACTCTTGTCAGAGTCGGCTGCTCGTGAAACATCTCTCAATTCTCAGATATTGGATTTAGAAAATGAAACAAAACAGGTAAGCTAGTTCTTCATTAAATTTGTTTACAGCATGCATCTTAACTGTGCTAAAAACATGGGGAATGTGTTTTGGTGTTATAGTTGCGGCAAGAACTGGAGCGTGTTATTAATGAGAGAGATAGAGTGATGCAAGAAAATTATGATTTAGATAAATTTAAAGAAGAAGGAGAGTTGGAAAGAAAAAAAATGCGTGGAGAATTGAAAGAACTGAAATTCCGTGAAACAAGACTCATTACAGATTATTCAGAATTAGAAGAAGAAAATATTAGCTTACAGAAGCAAGTTTCTGTCCTTCGATCATCACAAGTAGGATTTATAACTTATTGGATATAATAGTTAATGTTGAAATGCAAACTCTAACTGTTGAAGTTTTGCAGGTGGAATTTGAAGGTGCCAAGCATGAAATAAGAAGGCTGCAGGAAGACTTGGATCTACTCAATCAGCAGGTTGATGAGCTCACAAAATTGAAGAAGATTGCCGAAAAGCAAATGGAAGAAGCTCTGGAGTCTTTGCAAGTGTGTTTCTTTAGATTAAGGTTTTTGTGGCAAATGGTATTGTAACTTTGAATAATAGTATTTTCAAATGAACATTTTCATGATTATAGGCTGAAAGAGAAGCTAAATATGCTTTGAAAAAGGAATTGGACCAGAGAATCAACAATGAATCAATGTATAATCTTAGTAATTTGGCATTCAGCATTAGAGGTAAGAATAAATATCAAACAGAAAAACTGTTTGATTCAAACCGTATTATTTTGGGTTTCCTTCTTCCCAATGCAATTACACATCAAAATACAAAATTTGTTTCATCCTTTCGAGGCCCCTTCTTGCTATGAATAGAAGAAAGCTTTATTATTCTTCGTATCATGAAACAAGTTTCATTAATACTGAGTAGCCTAAAGTAGAATATTTCCTATATAGTGATTAGTTGCAGAGACAGATTTCGCTAATGTAAGATGTTGTAACTGGTACATTATCGCCATCTTGGCAAAGCTGAGTTTTGTTTGGAAAGTTAACTTCTAAATCAAGTGTGATGTTTTTTAACGAAATGAGCTGATCCAAGCTGCATTTTGTACATAAAAAATATGGCGTTTGTTACTTCCTCTACCGAAGTACTGTCATTCTATTTTAAGTGGTCCAGAATTAAGTAAATTTATCACCTCACTACCTCTGAAAAGAATCATCTTGGTGAAAAAGCATACTCATTCATCATGTTAATTCTCTTAGGTTTGGTTTTGCAAAACCATTTTAAAAAATGTTTATTGTTCATGGTTCACAAACGATAGCTGATTTTGTTTTAAGCTGCACACCAATTTTCAGGTTTGTTGATATGTACGATATTGTAAATTACTCGGTGATGGGTTGTTGTAGCTTTTTAAATTAAAATTCATTGGATTCAGTAAATTTTGACCTACAAATGAAAGTGATATTTACCTATCTATTCGGTTTTTAGTTTGTTAATCTTTCCATTAAAAACTATCAATGTGAATGAACAAATTTTCATTTTCAGAATCAATTATTCTATTTTCGGGGATCTCAGTGGAAAAAACCTGAATAAAAGCATGAAAATTTCATATTTAATATTATTTTATTTATAAACATAGGGCAATGAGTTGACTTGTGATTTTGTTGCTGGCTGTGAAGGTGTTGCAGTTGATTATTAAAGATACATGAACCATAATGTGGACGTGACAGTGTTGCCATCAGTCTTCTTCAAATTTTTTGAATCTGACTTAAAAATGGAGAAAATATAAACTGGCTAAAAAACAAAAAGGCTATTCGATGGTCAACAATTTCTTTTATCGGATGCTAGTTATCACAATTCACCTGAAGTGAAGTGAAGTGAAGTGGATGTTGGTTAATGACCTTACCTTTATTTTTGGATTCTTGGAGGAATATATTGAGAGAGAATGTATGTTTGTGACCCTTTTGTTTATATTGTGTAATCCTCACACAACCTGAAAGAAGGGGGACCAAGATCATTTTTGAGCTCCTTTGTTCATTAGTCTTTTTATTTAGACATTTTACTTCGGTGACAATTTTCAGTGTTTCTGAAATGTATTTTGTTGAGAGAGATTGTAAGAGGGGTCGAATCCAACTTATCCTTTTTTTGTATAGTTGTGTACATATTGTAATATATTTAGCTACTTTGACCAATTTTGACATTTTTTGAATATTTCAAGTTTTTTTTTTCTGAAGGGGGATCAAGTCAAAATTGGCCCCCTTTTATGGTTAAATGAAAGTGTCGTCAAGGTTTGCTCCAAATTCTTCCATAACTCTGAAGGGTTTAGTAAACATTTCTCAATTTCCAATTTTTTCATAGTTTTAGGAAAATTTTAGAATTTTTCATGCATTTCACTCCTTATTTTTTTATGTAATACTTTAACTAATAAGATTTCATAAAGTTTATGAAATGTCAAGTTATCAAAACACCCTCAGTGTGATGTGTCTGTTTATTTTTTGGAGAATTTAAATTTAGTCACTGACTATCCTTGCAAATAGCAAATTCATTATTGGAAAATAGGCCGTCAAAGAATTAATACAGCTAAACACTGTTGACTTTTACAACAGTAAAAGATATACTGTATACAGTAAAGATATACAACAATAAAAGATACAATTTTTATAACCTTACACAGGCAATAATATTTACTCAAACATTACAGTAACAATATACCAATAGACTAATGCATCTACCCTTTTGTCACAACTGTAAATTTCGAAATATATCTTTACATGAAGTAGGTAATTTTTGATCAGATATTTAACGTCAGTTTATGGAAATAAGATATTTTGCTATGAAGGCTAAATGTTTTGTTTTAAAATGTTTGTCATTTTAAGCTCATTTTGTTTTGTACTTTATTGGATGATCTTTTATTGAATTTTATTCATATTGAATTATAAGTAAATACAAATTTTATTCATTTAGTACATTAATTGTTGAAAACATTTACTTTTTATTTTAATAAAGATTATTAATGAAGTTTGGAATGTAAATATTACGCTGAATTTATATGTTGTTTAATTTAAGAAGTTAACCAGCCCATCATGATAATTTTTCAATCTCCTTACCTCATGGGCTATTGGACTTATTTTGATTTGATTTGGAGAGCTCCCCAAGTTTCTCTTGCTTGGAAATAAATCTCTCCTCTGAAACCAAATATTTTTGCATGTAGTACTCTGCATTATTCAAAGTCATGTTTTGGCATTTTGATAGGAATAACGGATGACCAGGGAGTAGGAAGTGACGGTGAGGATGATCTCCCGGTTCTGAAGAGAATTGAAGCAGACTTAAAGAGTGGGTCCAGTGCAGAAATCAGCTCTCCAGATGGAAAACAAGTGGATTTGTTCAGTGAAATTCACCTCAATGAATTGAAGAAACTAGAGAAACAGTTGGAGCAGGTGAGTCAAATGTCATGTAATAGTTGTTTGAAGATGTTTTGTTCATCTTTACCAATCTCATAGTGTAAGGAGTTAAGCTAAAATTGAAGACTCAAGGTCTTATGATTAGTAATATCTCGAGTTACAAATTGTTAGATATTAAACAATGGATTACACATTCGAATGAATGTGAAGTTTCATGACATGCACATTGATTATTTCATTAGCGAAGTGGAATTTGTGACATATTGTCTTGGATTTTCAGCATATTGGAATGTCTAATTAAAATAAAATCAACTAGCTCTGGTATAAAACAACCTATCTCTGTGATCCAATAGTTATGTTAACCTCTATGTAATTTATGAGATTGATTACGTTTTAGAACTAATAAGATATGGGTGAAAGAAACTAAAAGAAACCCTTCTTGAACTTTTCAATAAAATTTGCCAAGAAACAAAAATTCTACCAGATTGGCAAGAAGGACTAATCATTAATATTCACAAAAAGAGCTCTAAGGAGGACTGCAACAACTACAAGGAAATTTCATTACTATAAACAACTTCAAAGATTTATGCAAATATCTTAAGGAACAGAATCAGTGAAGTAAGACATTTCTGTGTGAGGAACAGTGTGACTTCAGAAAGGGAAAGAGCACTAAAGATGCCATCTTCACATTACAGATGCTCATGGTTGAAAGAAAAGAAGTAAACCTACCTACATTTTTAATATTTGTTGACTACAAAACAACATATGAGAGAGTTGATAGGAAGAAATTGTGGGAAGTATTGGAAGAGGAGAAAATCCCACATCATTTAATTAAAGCAGTACAAAGCCTTAAAGAGAAATTCAGAATAAAAGTACACCTAGGAAAGAAGAGAGACAACATCAATAACAACTAGCAGTGGCCTCAGACAAAGCTGTGTTTTATCACCAGTTCTGTTCAGCATCTATATTAACCACTTAATAAGGCACTGGCAGAAGAAGATGAACCAGGGAATTCTAACCAAAGGAGATAGAAAGAATGACACAATCCTGAACGCAGATGACCAGGTAATAGTAGCAGAAACTGAAGATAACTTACAGAGGACAATTTTAGAACAATCAGAAATTACACAGAAATATTCTATGACAATATCAATAAGAAAAAGAAATCCATGGCAGTGCAAGGAAAGGAACAAAGAAGAATTAAAATTGAAATAAATAGGGAAATAGAACAAGTAAGAGAATTCACTTACCTAGGAAACAGAATCGATGTACTATACCACACTCAAGGAGACATGAGATAACTACATAATTACTGCAGACAATGTGGAACCATTAAAAGAAGGGAAAGATATGGATTCTACCACAAAATTGAAACTTCTTAATGTCCCAGCTAAATCTGAATAGTTCAGAGCCATGGATAATGAAGGAAAACAACAATCAGAAAATACAGGCAGTACAAATGACATTCCAAAGGCACTTCTTAGGAGTCACGAGGAGAGACAGGTTAAGAAACAAGGACGTCAGAAGAAAACTAAAAACCAAAAATCTAATAGAAGGATTGAAGAATCACAAGAGAGATGGAAAGAACACATTTACAGGATAAAGAGAAACAGTCAACCAAAACTCATTTGGAAATATAAACCAATTGGAAACAGACCTTTGAAGACATTTAAAGAGATGGAAAAATCAGGAACTCCTAGAAGATTAAGCTACTAGGTCTACTGAACCAGCCCAAACAGGAAAATGATTATACCTAAATAACTGCAGGTCATGATGATGATGATGATGATGATGGTTGCAAGGAAATATAATACCCTTCTCAGCAGGGGAACCCAGAAAACACCAGGTGCCTGGGGCAGTTGATCCAAGAGCCTCATTTCAAACTGGAAATTCTCTCCTCACCCAATTCATAAATGGAATTCATTTCTCAATGCAGCAGAAATAACTTAGAGCATTAAATTTTGATTATAGTTGAAAATATTTTGAATGCTATTGAATAAAAAAAAAAAAATTAGAGGCTTCAAATTTGGGCCTGGAGCAAGATGCATGCATGCGTGCGTGTGGAATGATTGAGGATGTAGAACAGGATAATTTTACATCCCTTTTGTGGTGACTGCGTGATTGAAACAGTGTTTGTGTCAAATAATGCTATCCAAAAATTACATTTGAGTTTGTCTTCTGTTCAACTCCTCCCTCCTCTCTTGTGCCCTTTCACAAAGCCATCTTAATGTTTGGAGAGTGTACACAGTGTCATTTTCCAGTGCAAGGAAATTAGCAAAACTATTTTATTTCATGGAAGGGAAAATATTATGCAATTAATTAAGAAAGCTCATGGACACAAGTTTTTGGTTTTCAAAGGGAATATTGCTGAATGATGATAATGAAAGTGAATGTAGAAAACCATCTCAACTTGTTGCATCCATTATATGATCCCATTAAAATAAAAATAATTGTAAAGCTCAGTCTTCTGCACAACAATGCTGCCATACAACTGCAATTATCAGTGCTTCTGCTTAATGGAAATTCTCTTTTCAACATACATTTCAGATCTAGTCCTCTAGCTGCCTACTTTCTAAACTGAAGAAAGAACTAGGTAGAGAAGTGCACTGCTTACTGGTTAGCCCTGATATTTAGCACAATAATTAAGAAAGTGAATTTTACCTTGAAGGAAAAATTACTTACTATGCCATTTTGATAATTTTGTGAAAAAAAGGAAATATTGTTTTCAACAGTGATCACTTTGGATAACCAAGTTCCTGTTCTTTCTTTGTGATTGTTGTAAGTGAAATTCAGTTTTTTTTGGTGAAGTCATAAAATCACTTCATTCTGTCCACAGGCTGAAAATGAGAAGCTGCTCCTGACACAAAATCTCCGGGAATCACAGGGTAGTGTGGAGCGTTCACAGGCAGAGCTACAGGTACTGATGGCACGACTCCTGCAGTTGGCTGCTCATGTTGACTCTTTGTATCACCTGCGCCAGCAAGCTGACAAAGAGTTGCAGGGCACCAATCGTCAAGTAAGTCATTACAACTGTTTTTCTTACACAAGTAAGTCATTACGCATGTCAGGAGACCAGTTGGGAGCGTAGAGCTTGTCCTGGCTGGGGAGGTGCCCCTCTGGTGGAAGATACCTGGTTAGGGAAATCCCACTAGCCGATGGTAGGTCGGTGCTGGGTCTCGCCATACAGCAATGGAAGACCACCGCCACCTCCCAAACAAAAACATGCACTACACTTATGAGACTAATGACATGAGTAGTTGATGCATCTGGAATCGCTAACAGTTAATTAATCACAACTGTTTTTCATTAAGTTGTTTTTATTTTCTGGAGAAAATGTGTGTACCCCAAGTCTTTGACTATTTGATCATCCTTGGAAAGCCTTGTCAGCGATCAAGTGGTTTATGCCCCTGGTTTTAGCATATTGGGTAGCACAGGTCAACAAGGGATGACGTGTATACTTCGGTGCATCAAGGCGAGGTAGAATAGGATTGAGTAGGGTAGTTTGCAGAACATTCTACACTTCAGCTCAGTGCCAGTCGACCCTCGCCTCTAAATGTAGAGCAAATTATTTAACAATTAAAATTTTTCCCTACTCTCTCTCTTAACATCTTCCTTTAAATTATTAAATTATTGAAAAACTTGAGTAATCAGATGCAACTCCAGTTTTCACTGTTTTAATATATATTTATTTCACAACCTCATAGTAATTTGAAGGATTATGATGACACTTGTGTTCTGTCTCAATTTTTGAATCATCTGTACTTTAATTTGTTTCAATTTAATATTTAAATTAGATTCAATTAAATATTTATTTAAATTTGTTTCAATTTAATATTTAAATTAGATTCAATTAAATATTTATTGAAATTAGAATCAATTTAATATTTATTGAAATTAGATTCAATTTAATATTTATTGAAATTAAGAATAGGTTAGGTTCTTATCATCATCTGTTAACCAGAAGCTGACAGCTTTTTTCTCAAAATTTTATACAACATTCCATTTACTTACATAACATTGCAAGAGAACAACTTAGGAGTTATTATTTCCGATGAATTGAAATGGGAAAGTCAAGTTGCTTCAATCACTAAAACCAAAACCATGGTATACTTAACGCCATGGTTTACTTCTAGGCCAAAACCTAAAAAATAAGAATTCTTGAAAATTATATTTTATGAAATTATTTTATTGTGCTTTGAAATTATGCATGTAAAAAGTTTTTCCACCTTGCAAGTGCCTGAAATAAAGAAAATTCACCCTAAAAATGACAGGCCTTTGCTGAAATACACTAATGTGTTTTGAACCCACCTCCCTATTGAAAAAGAGAATATAATTCTGAGAGATTTTAATCATCTTAAAGAATCTATTCATTTGAGACATGCTTAAAGGAACCTGGGAGTTTTATGCTAAGCGATACAAACATAAGTATCTTTTTTTGCTTTGTAATTGACTGATGATTTTTAATTTTTTACTATAGTTGAAGAGCACCTTTGTACACATTTTGATATTCTTTGTTTGACTGTTTTGTGATAAGTGCAAGAGGAAAAAAAAAATTGAATGATCATGTGGGTGAAGTTTGCAAAATTGATAGCTCAAATGTGTATTGTAATGTTTAAAATTTGAATATCAAGAAAAAAGAAAAGAAAAGGAAAAAAGAGGCCAAATGTGCAGTAGTAAACCTTTAAATCACCATGAAATTTTCAATGAAATTGGTGGACTGGTTTCTGAAGAAAAGTTACTTATGTACCTGAAAATGTACTTTGTGGAAAAAGAAGAAAAACAAAAATTTTAGTTTCTACATTATTTTGTTAGTGTTGATGGAAATGCACAACAATAAACAAAATTCACTTCTTAAAAAATCTCCTTCTATGATAAAATAATAATTCACTACTTAAAAATAATTCTTTGCTGTAACAGGACTCAAAATATTTATAACAAAATAAAAATGCAACTCGGCAAGGTGATAGCTTGTCAGGCAAACAAACACAAACATCCTGACACTGAACCATTTAAAAATTTGTAAAAAATATTTTGAAAGCTCGGCAAAACAAAATTAGTATATATGCTGACAGGAAAAGCTGGGTTATAGAATAGAAGAAAAAAATAATTTTCCAAAAGAAAAGTAGTTTTAAACTCCCAGGTCCTCTTAAATATCAATAGTATATGAAGAAAGGGGTCATGAAATGTCACTTTTGATGTTAGAGTAGTGGAGGAAAAGAGGAGATAAGGTGGGGAGACCTACGAGGTATTGCTCTTCAATGTAAACTCAATTTGAGACTGTTTACAAGAACTTCAGATCGAAGGCATAAAGGGTATACTAATATGAAGCTGAGAAAGAAAGTGACAAATCATTGATCACATTTTATTGTAATTTAAGTTGTAAATGAGTGGTATGTTCTCTCTGCAAGCTATATTAACAAGGAGACAGAATGGCTTCAAGCTGTCTGGACCATTATCGCTATAGAGCCAAATAAAGGAACAAATGTGATAACTGTGGTTTAATTGTTGGTTAGAAACTATGATTTTAATGATATGATAACTATGATAATGTGATAACTGATAATAAAGTTTAATATATTAATTGTAAGGTATGCGCATATCAGCTTATTTACTGCCTACTTTATTTAATAAACAAATATTTTTCATTACTGAGGGAAGATGCGTACATAATAGCCAATTCATGGAGTAGTTTGTTTCTTTTTACTTACTACAGTAAATAAAATAACACCAAATATTTCAAAGTATAAGATTGTGTTATGTGGGTGAAAAAGGTCACAACATGCTTAACCTTGTTTGATGTACTGAGAGGGATACTCCAAACGGTAGCAGAGATAAAATAATCGGGTACTATTTTTGATGGTATGATGTGAGGTTCAAGGGACATTCTGAACACAATGAATAAAGCTCTTGAGGTCTTTAGGGTTTGTTATGTTTGTGGATTTCAATTGAAAAGAGACCTTCAGAATTTTATATTTTTCATTAGTAAGACCCATAGTGTACTTTGCCAGTTTGGTCACTATTTTTCTAGAACATAATATATGAAATAGGTAGAATTGAACACAAATTTCTGAATTATGTAGCATGGAAATTACATCTATCATCCCCATATAATATTACTCATAACTGCAAAAATTTGTACAAAAATGAGAAAAATTCTTGAGTTAACTATATGATTGAACGCTCATGCTGAGTGTGTGTTTTTGTCACATATATTATAGCTTTTGTTATATCATATATTGTAGCAAATTCCTGACTGAAGCTTGAGGAAATCTAATATGGAAATATTTAATTTTCTGTTGTGAGAACGAATACCTATTTCCATTCGCCCTTGTGGAGAATGTCGGATGACCAATGAAATTGGCTTAGATATATAGAGAGTTAACTTAAAAACATTTGAGTATTGTGAGAGACCGTATTATATTTTTCAAATAATTGAAATGATATTGTATTTGAAAAAAAGTTTATGTATGTTGGGCAAATTTCCTGTGAAAATAAGATTAATAAGAATGTGATTTTGTAATTTGGGACTCTTGAATGATATAAATTTCTTTTTCTTGAACTTTTGATGTTTGTTATACAATTAATATGAGGTTGTGGACGAATACAGCATAATTTGTTTCTGCAATAAAAATCCATTTCTGCGTTTTTCAGAGTCCAGAAGGGGAAAGACTTAGTGAGAGAAAGTCATTATGGAAGATCTGGGTGCAAAGTAAACTTAGTATTGTCACAACACTGTTGTTTTAGTGAACACATAATATGCTTGTACTATTATAGTGTCTATGTCCATAATGTTATCATTACACAGTATTCTAAAGAAAGAAAACTTTTGCTTATGAAAAGGGAGATTGTTTGCTTTTCTCTGCACCTAAAGCACAAATGTTCCCCTGATAATGTACCAACTGCTCATAATCACCCATATTACTTGATTCTTGCATTTTAGTATTGTTTTATAAAGAGGCCAGATATTTCCTGTGCAATGTTGACAAACATTACACAAAGCCATATTGGGAGACACTAGCGTCTCTAGCCTTGCACCCTGTGGTTTTGTTCATGGTTTCCGCAGTTCCTGTAAGGTTTCAATGAATGGCCAAAAAAACAAACAAACAAACAAAACAAAACAAAAACAAAAAAACAGACAAATACTGAACCAAACACCTAGGGCTGCTGTAGGATGACGTAATTGTTCTCGTTGTCTGGTTATCTAAGACATTATCAGGTTATTATATGGTTGTTTTTCGGTTGGGACTTTTTGTTACCTGGAATTACAGAAACTTTGTTTCCTCTGGCTCACAGTAATTGTGTGAATGAATGTTATGTGGCCCTGACGTGTTTATTTTTGTTTCTCATTTCTGGCTTCATTTTTGTGTGCGGTATAATGTATTACATCATTATTTTGATATTTCAAAATAACTAATTTTTACATTTTGCTGACTCTGATATTTCTAATATTTTTAAAATTTTTATTTTAAAGAATTATAATTTTGTTCACAGAATGTGGTGCTGGAGAAATTGAGCTTGGCTCTTTCTCAATATGATAAATGGTTTGCTCTGACATCAAAGGAAATTGATCAGCTGCGGCAGGATCTTCAGGAAATGGAGAAAGGCCTTAGCTGCAGTGATGCCACCCTTCAGTTACGTACTGAGGTGACCAATCTAAAGAACAAGGTAAGCCATTTTAGCTCATTTGCTTTTTGCAGAAAACCACCAGTATAATGAACTAGTGGGGACGACAGTAATTTGTTTGTTATAGTAAGCAGATGTTACAAAAAAACAAATTGTTTCTAAGAACATTTATTATAGATTTGCCATTGCAAGAATTACATTACTTAAACATAAATTTTTAAATGATGTAGTTCAGTATTTATTTGAAGAGAGGAATATGAAATAGTCATTGTTGATTATTTTTCGTAAAAAGGAATTTTTAATTAAAATTTTCTGAATTGTAATAATGGGATACAATACACTGAACACTTATTTTGTATAAGGCCTTATGTTTTCAATCAATCTGAAATCATTCTCCATGGTTGTTTATGAACTTTATGTTCCTACTCTTCCAATAACATTTACTCTTGCATTGGAAGAGATACAAAGCTCGAGAAGTCACTTCCTGTATGGAAAATGGCTAATGTGCTAGAATCTCGAAAAATAATAGACAATACAATAAGAAAAATATTTGTTATAAAACATGATATTAATTATATATTTAAAACTTTTAGTTAAGAATTTAGATGAAAATTTCAATTGATGAATGTTCAAATTTTGTTGAAAAATTACTTTACACATAACCTGCAAATAAATTGAAGGGGTTTCGATCAATTGAAACTTTTATTATACCGATATTCGTTATAACGTCATTTCATTATATTTTTTATATTTCCTTTATGCTTTAGTGTCATGAATTTGAGCTACAAAATGTATGCATTCAATTATGAAATTCTTAAAATATTTTACTTTTTCATTTACAAAGTTGTGATACCGTAGTGATAAGGCTCATGGCGTGTAATCTCAGAGGAACTGAGTTTAAACCTTGGTGCAGGCAAAACTTTGCTGATTAAAAATATTTTTGTAAGATTATGTGGTAGTATAATATAATGGAGCAGTTAGAAATAATGTGAAAAAGTATACACACTGTTGTGTCACTTGTTTCTGATTACATTATATTAATTTAGTGTTCCTGAATACTTGGAAATTTCTGTTGTCAAATTGCCTTTTTGATATTTCTCCATGACGATGGACTGCACAGCAACTTTCAGTATCATTTCTCTTTCTCACTGAGCATCATTTCTCTCTCACATAGCATCACATAATTTTACATAACCATTTTAAATATAGCATTGTGCCCAAAGGGATTAAAATGATGGAGCTCGATTCTCTATCTTTCCCAATAACCCATGAAGCGTGTGTGTGTTGGTACAGTTATCCTTTAACCTAATAAAAAATAAGCTTAATGCAACAAAAGGGGCTTTCTATAATTTTTTATTGGGTCTTAATGTTGTAAATGATGATCAAATACTGTAGCTCAACTTGCTGCAACGGAATATTGCTTTTTTTTTTTCAGCTTCTGGATGCAGAGCAGTGGTCCCAAGAACTGCAGACAGATGTACGTTTATTAGGAGAGCTTGCTGGTGAAGCAAGCAATTCTCTGGATACTGCGCAAAATGATCTGCAGACTATTTCAGATGAATTAGCTCAGCTCTACCACCATGTTTGTACTGTAAATGGTGAAACTCCCAGTAGAGTGCTTTTGGATCATGAAAAACATGGTGGTATGACACCCAGTGAGTGTAACACTCAAATCTTTCTTTATGCTAAAATGTCTTATAAAATTCAAATTAATTAGAAAATCAAAAGTGTTCTTTCTAATGAATTAAGTGTTCTTAATGTTAGAGCCTCATTAAGTTTTGACATTGGTGAAATGGTTTTAGGTGGAGACAAAGAAATTTGTCCAGAAATTGGGAAAGAGGAATTCACTCTTTCCAAAATCGAGCTTTTGCGAAGCAGGTTGAAAACAGACATTCCATTGAAGGACTTGGAGTCATTAAATGATGCAGCTGCAATGGCAAAAACTGTGGAAACCATATTGGATCAGATCAAACACTTACGTGCTGCTGTTGAAAACACAATTGAACTGTCAAAGATTAAGAGAAACAATTTGGCAGATGGTAAATATCTATTGTTTATGGGCTATGAAACTTTTATGTTCTGAGTTAAAGGCAATTTGTTGTCCTGGATGATATTTAATCCATAAGTTCCTTAAGTTTTTATAAAGTAAAGTATATTTGTTACTTGTATTGAAACACTTGGCATGTGCTTGAAAAACCAACCTTTCATTTTCAGTTTGTAGCAATGACTCAAAGGAGGCAGAGCTTCAAGAACTTCAAGAGCAAGTAATCAAATTGAAATCTTTGTTATCAACAAAGAGAGAACAAATTGCTACCCTTCGGACTGTTTTGAAGTCTAACAAGAATACTGCAGAAGTAGCCCTTACAAATCTCAAATCCAAATATGAAAATGAGAAATCTATTGTTAGTGAAACAATGATGAAACTGAGAAATGAATTAAGGCTTCTTAAAGAAGATGCTGCAACATTTTCAAGTAAGTATCCTTTTATGTTATTACAATTAGGAATTGGTCTCAATGTATTCTGCATGAAGAAAATAGGGTCTTGTATTTTAAAAAGCATTGTTATCGGGCACATTAGTGCTATTATTTCAAATACTTATATTACTTCAAAAAATAAAGATATGTAATTGGCAAGACACAACAAAATTGTCAGCAAATGCAATAAATTGAAATGAATGCATTTGTTTTATGGATAAAAGAAATTTAGTATGAACACATTTAATGTTAATTTCTTTTATCAATAAAACAAAACTGAACAGAAGCATCATAAATTCCATTTTAATTAAACTGATATTAGACATTTCCTAGCATAAGTGGGTAGAGTCATTAATCTTCAACTGAAAATATTTTTTTTTGTTACATTAGTGTTGGTATTATAGTAGCACTAGTTTGAAATCTCCCTTTTGGGAGGAGCTTATCTTCTTACACTTCCCCCATCACTGCTACAGTGGCAGATTTCTTGGCCTACTGTGTGTATGAGAGTCATCGCCCTTCCCCATCAAGGAGGAGATATTGTAACTCCACATTTCGCTGTCCCTTTTGTCATTGCTGTTCTTAGGGGAGCTGTCATGTAAAGAAACAATAATTTTGTTCACTTCTTTGTCTATGATCATGTCTGTTTTCAAAGGTGTACCGATGCTTTCTTTGGCAACACGATTCTTTATGTAATCCCAAATTAATTCGATGAAATTGAGTTTGGGATGGTAAGAAGGGAACTTGATGTTGAGGTCACATTACCTGCAAACGGTTGTCTTAGAAACAAATAAGCACATTATAATGCCTGTGAACTTCACTTGAAATTAGGCCTATGCTAAGGCACCATATTGCACAGAGCACTCAAAGAAGAAAGAGATAGGACTGAGGACCAGGGGCAATGTTTCCTCTACATATGTTTCTTTTACTGAACCTTAATATATTAAGAGTCAACATTTGTGCGTAGACAGCTGAAAGTGTTATGATTTGGATAGCTGACACTTTTACTGTGCGGTGGGCCCAAGCACAATAGTCTACCTGCGCCTTCAGACCCTGCTCCCCTCCCCTGGCCACGTCAGTTGGCACACAGTGCAAGTGCAAGTGATATTTTCAGGGGAAGTAGCAGTTGATGCCCTTCTTGCGCATACGCATTCTAAGGAAGACTGCAAACTTGTCTGCTAAAGTGTAACATTAGTGTTAACATTAGTGTTAACATTGGTGTTAACATTAGACCCCTACCCACTCTCTATTTTAATTATAAATTTTTCAATAAATATTTTTTAATTGGTTTCAGTAGTAGTTAGTGAAGCATCATAATAATGAACAATTATTGTAATGTAACTAGCATAAGTTACAATTAATAATTAATAAAGAATAATACTTATAATAAAGAATTACAGTTAACCTGAAACAATGAAGAAGCAATTAGAAGCAAAACCATGATTACAATACTATGAATATTTGTCTGAAATTTTTTTAAAACTGAATATCTCTTTACAAAAATAATCATAAGCATATTCTCATAGTGCATAAATATAACACATATATTATTTCATAATTGAGTATAGATTGTGTGTATACATATTTTTCATGTCATATCCAAAACAAACTGTCAAATGATTAACACTTGTGTAGAAGTTGATATGATGATCAGCCATTTACAAAAATTTTGATTTTAGAAATGGATGTGACAAGTTAGGGGTTAAAAGAAAGAACTAGTGACTTGGGATTCAAGGGACAAAAAAATTCAATTCTGCTTGTTAAAGAGCTAATAATCAGAAACGTCTCAGAGGATTCTGGCTGTCTTGAATCCTTTAATCTTTTATCTTCTATCCTTTATATTGTGAAAATACAATTCCTGCATAATTACAGGGAGATAGATAGTAATGCAGTGCACACATAGTATATCAAATTATGAGAAATACTCCATTTATAAAAATTGGCAATAGTTCCTGTTTTCTTATTTAGTTCTGTGTACATTGCAGTTGCAATAAAAGAGGTGTCATCAGCTTACACAACTACAAATTCAGGTTTGAAATTGTTTTTAGGTCTTTTCTGTTAAAAAGGATTTCATTATTACATTTTGTGAATAATTACTATGTTTATTACTATTTACAATTGTTATTTATAAATTGAAAAAATTAAGAAAAATTGTGCTCCACTAAAACCCAGATGAAAAAGTTCAACTTCAAAATCTCTTGATAAACTGAGTTAAAAGTACTAGATAAATTAAGGAAAAGCCCAACAGTCAATAAATTAGCATTCAATGTAAAATGTAGCGCAAAATTGTTAGAAATCTTTTTTGAATCTGTCATTTCAAAATGTTCAACTTAGATTAATAATACAGGTGGTTTATGAGAAACCAAGCCAAGCGAGCTGTTGCAAGTTTATTCTGTGATTATTACTTGCTTGACTTTTATGTTGTTACATTGTTATTTCCTTTTACAAGAGGTGTGGAAAATGAATTGTGCTTTATGCGTTGTTGGGTGTGCTTTAATATGTGATCATATTCTCTGATTAACAAGTGATCAGTGCTACTCTGTGGTATCAATTCTCAGTATTTCATCCTGAATGTTGTCCTTCAAGTCTTGTAATGTCCTAGGATTATTACAAAATGTTTTTCCCTTCAGATTGGCGTACATATAAAATCCCAAGTGGATAAGTCCAGCAGCTGTGGTGGCCACAATTCTTTGTTTATAGTTTGTTCGTCAATCTTACATGAATTCACAAGAGTGACTTGTGTGAACTGTGACAAATTGCTCCATCCTATTGAGAAAGAGCATACGAATGTTCATTAGACATCAACTGTGCATACACTTGGTTGGAATTAAGGACACCACACACCCTAATCAATTTACACATCTTCCTCTGATTATAGGGAGATTCTGGTGGATTACAACTCGTGATGCACTACGCACTGTTAGCACACGCCAGCACACATCAATCCATACAAGTTCTCTTCAACGGTCACAGACAGTACAGCTGTAGTCAAAGAGAACACAAAGCATCAGTCGATTCCTAGGCATATCCATAGATATCTACGGATGGGATTGTATGGCCTTGTTGATAACTCCAACATGTCCATCTGAAACAATTTCCCACGATTCACTTAATGTTCACCATTCCCAGTAGCTCCAAGCACTTCACATGCTTCGGTCTGGTCAAGGCCTTGGTGAAGATGTCAGCTGGCATGACCATCGATGCCAGGTGCTCCAACTTAAGTTGCCCTGATTCCACGACTTCCCGAACAAAGTGATGTGCTTTGTTTGAGAATTTAAAGACCAGGCTTGTCGCCAGTCTCAGTGCTGAAGTTGTTGGGTGAAGTTGTTGAAGAACAGGGTCGTTGCCTCGAGCCCGACTTCTCCCAACTCGGCAAGGAAGCTTTGAAGGTGTGAAGCCTCCTTGGCAGTCTCGCTCAGGCCCATGTTCTCAGCATCTGTGGTGGAAATCGCAACTATCCTTTGTTTTCTAGAGCCCCCATGTTACTGATTCAAGGCTCATGATGAACATATATCCATTGAATGACCGCCTGTCATCTATCGACCGGGCGTAGTCCGCATGCACATCCCATGTTGGGAGGGTCCCCTGCCTGATACCGGACTCCCAAGTCCACAGTGCCTTTTAGTACCCTCTTCGCTGCTTGCCATTGGGATTTTCTGGGTAAGCATACACACGGCATGAGCTATGTCTGGGCGTGTTGCCACCGACAGAAGCAGGAGACACCCTGTAAGCTCACGATACGGCTGTCTGTTGCCGTCAGAGTCGCCCCACACAACAGCCTTGGAGAGGTTTGAGCCAGGCGCAATGGGCACAGGATGGCACACACACATCTTGAATCGATGCAAGATGTCATATACGTCCTCTGATTCATGAAGATACTCTTCGCCCCTCTTGAATTCTTTCCCCAAGCAGCGCTCCAGATTTCCTAGATCCTTCACCTCGAAAAATCTTCCCAGACCACTTTTGAAAGCATCTATCTTCTCAGAATTTCGACACATCACCAGTATGTCAACATATATTACGATAAACATTGTGTCGATACTGACATCCTTAAGGTACATGTCTCCTGTGGAAGGAACTGCTCCCAGGTTCCTTAGTTCCATGTGAGTTGCTTGTGCCAAGCTCGTCCGGCCTGTTTCAAACCGTGTAGGGCTGTCATATGACAGACCTTCCCTTCAGTTGACAGCTCCCTCAGTATTGACTTGGCCTCATTAACCAGATGACTCTGATTCTCATTGGCTATGATGTATTCATTTCGTTAGGATGCAACATGAGCACACCATCTAAAGTCCCATTGAGATAAGCTGTAGCCATATCAAATTGTCGGATTTGCCTGCCCCTTCGTGCCGCTTGGGCGATCGTCAAGCAAATGGAGTCCAGCCAAGTGACCGGGTGTGTAGGTCTCGTTATAATATTCCATACCAACGTTGAGAGTTCCCTTTCGTCACGATCCGTGCCTTTCGCCTCTCTTAACTCTCCGTTCGTTCCATACTTGTTCCTCAGAACGAATCTGCTCCCTATCACACCCCTATCTTCCGGTCTGGGCACCATCTCCAAGGTTTCCTTCTCAAGTATGGACTTGACCTCATGCGCGATAGCTTGAAAATTAGTATAGAAAATTTCATAGATTTCTCATTACTAATTATTCTTTTAAAAATGGCTTGTTTATCAAAATACTCTTTAATTATAAAGAAAAATATGAATTCAAAAAATAGTTTGGACAAATGTGCGATGAAGATATTATAAATAAATAAATTCGTAATTAAAAATGTAGAATTCTGTTAGTTCCGTGTGTATATGTAGTTTTCTTTTTTTCCCAGGTTTACGTGCCATGTTTGCTGCACGTTGTGAAGAATATGTAACCCAGGTAGATGAACTGCAACGACAACTGGTCGCTGCTGAAGATGAGAAAAAGACCTTGAATCAACTGCTGCGACTGGCAGTGCAGCAGAAGTTGTCCTTGACTCAACGCCTTGAAGAGTTGGAAGTTGATCGTGAAATGCGCAATGCACGAAGGCATCCTGTTGGTGCTGGAGGCCGTGGTGGGAAGACTCGTTTCCCACAGCCTGGACGATCACATTCGGGCCGTGACTACTAGCCTCGTAGTCGGCGCTTCCTGGCCTGCGTTTTGGCCTTACTCCTGTGAGCGTGGTACTCCCACCTCTCACCATCTGTGAAGCTCTCTTGGTTGGTTGGTTTCTTTCGTGAGTAATGCAGAATTGTCCAAAGCAATAGTCTTTGTGTCATTGCCTTGGTGCTCCATGCTGAAAGAACCTGAAGAATTGCTGTTGTTTAGCTACTTCAGTGGTATGTGCAGGATGCCTGAGTTATAACTTCGCTGTGATGCTGCACTGAGTAAGAACTGGAGTAATCTGTTTTCTGATTGGTTGCTCTAGTGGTCCACTTACATGAACCTGTAGAGTAGATGCAAGTCTGATAAGGGTTTTGTTCTGTACTGGGGACAGTACATTCAGAGTAACTCGCTCACTACTTGAAGCGCTCTGTTGCCTGTTATTGGTGATTATCACCAATTCTGTTTTATATGCTTGAGAGGACCAAATCCTAAACACAATCCTTGAAGATGAATCTCACATAGATATTTGTCTTAACATACTTTGTACATTTTATTGTCGTTCAGAATCGTGCTTTGAAGAGGAGTATGTGCAGAGTAAGCCATATCATATTATCAAAATCAAAGTGTCGTGCATTGTCTTAAATAAGGTATTGATTGTTGTGTAATGGAATTTGACTATTTGTTGTTTAAACAAAGTACATGTTGAACTTGGCTGATCAGAACGATATTCTGTTAAGTGCACATAACACAGTACTAGATGCAATCCCCTGGTTTTATTGATGCGCATTGGCAAAGTTTTATAGGTCAGGCATATCTTTGTGACATCTCTTGCATCATTAACATTGCTCTTCCACATTTTGTGACTTGTATACTATATTAAAATGACATTATTTTAGGCAATATTTGGAAAACAATTGAGAGGTCGAAAGATGAAGTTACAATGTGAACAGAAATTTAAGCTTATTGATGATGTTGAACCTTTACTAGTACAGAACTTGAACTATTACTAGTCTCATTCCTTTATTTTTAAATCAATACAAGTTCTTGTGATGTGCTGTATGTACAGGTTTAGATATAATACAGCCAAAAGTAATACGTATTTGCTTGAAGATGAATATTTCTTATATAATTTAACTGATTTCTATGGGGTTGTGCAGAGTATTGTTACTCATTTCTGAGTATTATTTCTTTCTTTCTTTCATTTTTTACTTGTTCTGTCTTCATATGAATAACCAATTGTGTTTGGTTTGCAACATCATTTCAAAAAGTTAATATCAATTAGAAATATAATATTGATATCCTGTGAAAAATATTTTCTTGTTATTTGGTTACCACAGGAAGTGATTATTTTCTACTTAGATTTTTTCAAGGTTAAGTAAATCTCCTCAAGGGACTGGTAATACACTTAAGTGCTGTGAACAAACTTCCAAATAATAAAGAAATATAATAATTGCATGTGTGTAAGTCACTAATGCAATCATCCATGAGATTTTTTCACTACTTTGTAAAACGTGTTCATCTTCAAGCAAATTTTTAACTGTGTATGTCCTCCTGTTTCATTGAGGGATTATACTTTCAGTAGGCATATGCTGTTCCAAGCTGCCTAAAAGGTTGTGTTTCAATTGTCACCGTTCCCAAATATTGAGTATTTTGTTATACAAATTGCACTTTCTAAAATATATTTCAAATTAACACAGCATTTGCGGGTACACAAATATATTTTGGATTGGCTAAGTTAATACTTGCCGTTGCAAAAAATGGTTGTAAATTGTTCTTAAAGAAAGCCAAACTGTTGGATCTAGTATCTTCCCAACTGCTCCGTTCCGGTTGTCCATCTCCGAGCTAGAGGTTGTGTCTGTTGTGTCCGAGCCATGCGGAACGGGGCAGCCGTCCCCTTCGTAGCTTAGATAGATCGATCGATCGGTACCAAAGTTGTGCGAAGACTTCTGTCATCGTGTTGTTTGAATGTGTTGTTTTGTGTGACTGAGTGGATGAGCTCATCCAAAATAATAGTGTCTGTGAAACAGCATTTATTATTACTGTTGTTGTTAAATTATTGGGCAACATCATAGTTTGCAGTCAATATGAACCCTGTCCATTGTAGCTCTGTGTTTTGTTTTATACTTGTGTTCACATTTTCTAATGTACTTAAAAATAAGTAATTGTTAATTTATTTCACTTGCATGGTAGGTTCTGGTGCCTAACTGCGTGAGCCGTTATGTATGTACATTCGAGTTAGTGTCAAGATAGTCATTTAAGAAGAAAGGAGAGTTTGTCTTGTTATAGGAAACTAGAGTAAAATTAAAGTAAACATAACTTATTGACTTATTTTAATTAGATTTTAATCATGTTGTACACATTCTTTTGTAATAATGCTGGAGGTGTGTTAATTGACTCTGTACCAAGTGGTACAGTATAATTCTTTATGCTTAGGCCATGATTCCAAGACTGACATTGTAACAAGATTAATGCAGTTCTGTTTAAAGAACCCTCTGACTTTTCATGCCAAGCACAGCATTCATATTTGGTGAAATGGTGTGGTTCTGAGCAGGAATGCTTGTTATTCCATTTTGTTTCTTTCTGCATAGATTTTTCCATATTGAAATCAACTTAATATACATTTATATGGTTACTATTCGTAGCTTGGGTTTTGACAATTTGCTGTTGACTTTCTTATTTAAAGAGTCTGTGAAATATGTAGACAGTAGCTGGCTGATTGTCTAGCAGTTAGGTGGTGGCATATCTAACCAGCTGTAGATAAAGATTGTTTTGGACTCCATAGCTTATTGGAATTGTCTCTATTGCTGTTGCCAGTCGTATCAAGATTGTCATTTACCTCTGTAGTGATCTTAACAGTGCAGGAAATATAAGTACTATATACAATTTGACTGTGCAATATAATCCTTTGTTGCAACTGTAACTAAAATTATACAAAACCACTGCAATGGCTTACTTCTAGTATTGTAGTTTTTTTGAATTTGCAATTTATTCTAAAGGCAGCTATTTAATGTACTCAGAGAATATCATGATATTAAAACTAATCATTACTAGTATTGTGGGGCTACTATCTCTGTCGGGAAGGGTGCTTATTTTAAGGGGAACTAATGGTGGTAGGAGTCATTTTTTATTATACCTTTGTATTTTTGGACGCAATTAAATAATTTGCTTGCATGGGTACAAAGAAATAGATGCTTTTGTAGTAAACTTTGAGGCATCTCTTAGTGATCTCTTGTTATTTTAATGTGTTTGAGCCATGTTTTATGCTTGTTATATTTTAAACAGTTTATGTTGGAAGGTTCAAGTGAAGTTCTTGTTTGTAATATAACCTAAATGTCAGTCATGCAGTGGTGTTACAGGCAGTTACCAACTTGATTTGAATTTATCTTACAAGAGAAATAGCTAAAGGAGGTGCTGTTGGCAATAAATGATCAATGGTAAATGGTGAAATTTTCCTTTTGTGAATAGGTCCTTGATGCCAAATAGAAAGGTTGTGTGGTCAATTGTGCCAGTTTCCTGTTTAATTTTCAAGATTTATTGTTTCTGAATGTCTTTCCTGGGTATATTAGAGATGTCAAATAATTGATATAGGAATTTTATAAGATTAAAAGGATAAATTGTTATTAATATATTAAATCTAGAGACAGGGAATGCAAATGTGAAAAGACTATTCAGAAACTCCTTGGTATCAAAGACCTAAACTATATATTAACTGACCAAGTACATGTTAAACCAGTCACAATGACTTTGCCAGAATTGAGCATGTATAACTAAAGGAAGATAATAATTTTGCCTTTTCTTTGATAATAAACTTTTGAAGTTCCATCCTATCAGAGCAAGATTTCTTCTTCTGTGAACTTATTAAAGAATATCTGTGGTTGTTTGGAGAATTCCTAATATAATGGGATTTGTAATATAAATACTATAAATAAAATATACATTATTTACAAGCTTGTGTATTATTTATAACACTGAAGAAAAGCCAAACATTGTTAAGGAGATTTATAGAGAGAAATATCCATGTGATTTCTATGCTAGAATATGAAAACAAAATATATGTTTAACAATACTTGGGACTTGAGAACCTACCATCACGGCGGTAGCCTAGCTGCCAGTAGGGACTCCCGTGGTAAAATAGGTTGAAGGTGAGGTATCAGGCGAAGACGTTCTCCAGAGGAAAGTCTCAGTTGTAGGGTTGATGAAGATAGCGGAAGTGGCACCTCGAACACTTAACGGCAGCGTCATTTCTGCAGTGGTCGGCAGCAAACAGCGTCTGTACCCATGCTAGGGGTGGCTGAATAGTTAGTAGAAGGGAGTAGGAAGTAGAACGGGAAGAATCATGAACCTTTGGACTTCCTATTGTCAGCCCGTGGAAGGTCCAGGAGAGAACCTGGGTTGGCACACCAGGCCACTGATTAGAGTGGAGGTCTCAACATTGCATTAGCCAGCGATGGAGGTTGCCCTCAGCAATCAGTGGGAATCCCGTTTAGTAATGCCTTCTGGAGATCGGAGGGACCCTTGCTGGGCCCTGCATGGGATGTCCCGGGTCACAGTAACGGGAGACAGGAAATAAACCGATGAGTTAAGTGTGACCTGTGAACTCGGAACTTGCTTCCTGCGAAACGACCCTTAAAACCAATGAACAAAATGGGTTGAACAATAATGGCAATGAATCTTAAAGTGCCTTGTTCTACCAATATCCCATACTCCCTCAGAAATCGAGCTAATGTCACCTTGTCGACGTCTTGCCATCCTACGGATGTTAAGGCTGGTTTACACGTTGCCAATAGTGGTGTGCCAGTTACGGGTTTGCCAGCACCTCGTCAGTGCTGGTGCTCTGTGCGATTGACAATTACTGTTTACACAGTACTAGTAATGGCCATGGTGGAAATATCACCATCGTAATGGCATGCAAGATGAGATATTTTTTCTCGTTACTCTTCGCTTATGAATGCTCTTTGTGACGTGCTGCTGACACTATTCGGCGCGCAAGCAACAGTGTGCAAAGCAAATGTTACGGAAACATTTTATCTTATTCAGTTGCCTTGGAGAAGCTATCTATCCCCATTTTATTTGCAATTGCCAGAAGTGCGGCTGGTCTAGCGGTCCTTATATTCTGGTCAAAAATATCCCACACATTTTCTGAATCTCCATATAACCGGTCAAATTTGTCAATTTATTCTTCCGTCATTCAAGAAGGCTTCTGCTTCTCAGTAATTTTTATGATTAATTATAATAAAATGATTACGTTGATCCCCGTGCAAGTATAAAACAGTATACACATGTGGTGGGAGTCGGGGATCACCAACTCTATTCTGCGATTTATGCAATTCTGTTCCTGGCAGGTATCAGCTGTTGACGGTTTCATCCAATCGGGGACTTAAATATCACTACAGTGACGTCACTATGGTGACGTTCAAGCTCCCGATTGAATGAAACTGTCAACAGCTGATGCCGGCCAGGGGCAGAGTTGCGAAAATCGCAGTGCAGTCGCCAGTTTGAAAAAGTGGAGGGGGAGCGCGTGATCTTGGCAGTAAACCAAATATTCCTGTTCAACCGGCATCACCAGTGACTGGCGTGAAGGGTTTGCCAGTCACTTGCAAAGAAGGTAGTTACACCTTGCCATTCTCTACTTGCCAGCTACTGGTATCTTCAACTGACACGTTTAATGACGTGTAAAACAGCCTTTAGTTCCAGAGTAGGCAGTAGCTCGAAGCCATCGTCAGAGATTCACACGGAATTAATTGAAGATGATGTGATTTTACTATGCAAAAGCAAAAAATGGAGCTCAGAATTTTCCAGGGTATGGAAAGAGCGGTACTCAGATATGAGACCTACCTAATGTTCAAAGAAGCTTGCCGGTCAACAACGACACGTACTCGGCAGTGGAAAATTCACAGCAGACCAACTTGCTGACATTCAGGGAAATGCTGAGTATGTTCTTCGATAGAACTATCCTCATTGCGAACTTTTAGAGCCATCTGGCTATGAATCACACGATATATACTTGGGTATTTATTTCTTGGTGCGTGAGGGCCTGTCTTTGCGATTGAATATCTGGGGGGGAGGGGGTTCTGGCGCGCATCGTATCAGAGTTCAGCCAATGAGCTTCAGACGCCAGTTTGCGTCACAGTGGGACGATTGATATGGTGGAGCCATACGGAGGAGGTGGAGAGAGCGTGCCCCAGCAGAGAGATTAGTTGAATCGGAAAATTTTGAAAGAAAGGCCCTGACAAACAAATATTGAAGACTACATTTGAGGGTGCGCGATTGTTTAAAATGTAAGTGACAAGGTTAACGAAAAGGACCGAAATTTTAGTGCTCATGTTATGCGAGATTAATCTGGACAAAATAAACATTTTTTATTTTATCATTTTCATTTGGATTACACTTGACAATTTAATGTAAACTTTGTTGTGTTTTCATGCCATGTTCTTGTTGAAATGTGTTTTAACATATATTGATTTTTTGTGTAAATGTAATGCCATTTATGTATGTTTTTATAACTTGTTTGTATTTGTAAGCAATCCACTGGTACTCCCACTACGAATGGTAGGAAAGAGGGAGCAAATAATTACAGAACTGGTAGGAGAGTAGTAAGCAGGTGAAAGGAGCGAACCGAAATTTGTATGGTCAGACGGAAGAGCGGGCCTTCTGACCTGAGTCTCACCACGTAAAATAAGGCATTAATTCAATTCAATCCAATTCAACTTATTTTGTGCTGATATCTGGATCGTTTTCGACACACTATAGAGTTTTTTCTTCGTAGTCTGGTACATGAGCAACCCTAGGACTTCCACGATCAATAGTCTACGGTGCAATGGATCCTGTCTCAGAAACGCGACGATAAACGGCGCCGAAGGTTGGATGACTCGGTTGCATCGATTTGGAAACGCCATCTGTTACAGCCGCGTAGCATCGCATCAATTACCATTCTCTCGACAATATCATATCTGCCTGTTCACGAAAATAATATCGTACCATGGCTGAACGAAACGCTTGCATTTAACTCACTAGATGTACACAATTGAAACGTTGAACTCAGACTAATGACAAATGTAAACAAGTCTCCATGGCAACATATCGCCATCCACGAACCCTAAAATGAGTCAAGGCCTTCTATGAATGAGTGCGTAGACATGCAAAGTTGAGGGGTTGGTACGTGAAGTTCGTTGAGAATAAACATTAATAAATGAATAACGAGGAAACGAAGGATTGTGTGACACATGTTTATGAGAAGCTTTTATTTTATTTTTGTGCAAGGAACCCATGCCCGAAGTTTTTAAAAGTATTTTTGAATCAGTCTGTATAGAATCACGTCAAAAGATTTAATATTAAATATTGTATGCGGAAGTATTAAAAATTATAGCAAATGAATTTGATTCATCTAAATATATTTATTTCCAGGATTCGTCAATATTTATTCTCTAGTATTTTTTGTGTTTGTTCGTGGGAAAACTTCCGGGAGCTTTCACGTGGCTGCAAAGTAAATTTTCTTTGTAGGGTTTCCTCTTCCATAGCTAAATATTTACGAGGAGTAGGAAACATTAAAATGCAGTTATCAACAAGTGGTCGTGATATTTAGAAGTTTATAAAATATATTTCTTTATTAAGCCTCCGTTTTTACTGAAATACATTCTTTACAGTTTGTTGGCTAATATATTACTAGTTCGAAGGAGTAATATGTGACTAGTGAACGTTAGTAGGTAACAAGATGTCTCAGGTTCTCGCGCGATCTCTTAGATACAAAGGCACAAGTTACAACTTCAGGGGCAAGTTATAATCACGTGGATCAAAACTTTGGAAGTATTCTTCCTGGCGTCAAAAGTTTCCCCTCAACCGCGTGACCCAAATCGTCACTGGAATCGCGCCGTCCCTCGTTGCCTTCCGGCCGGGGACTGTGAGTGCATTCTTCGCGCGGGGAGGGCACGGGGCGGGGCGGGGGGAGGGCGGCGGCACGCGCGTCTCCTTGCCCCATTACGCCGCGCCGCCCATCGCGCGAAAATCAGTGCGGCCGGAGGCTGGCGCATGAAAGCGTGTTGACGTCAGTAGCGGCGGACCTCCGCTCCGCCTCCCGCCTCCCGCCCGCCGCCGCCCCGCCCCGCGCCCGCGTACCCCCCGCCCCCCTCCACCACTCACGGGCCGGACACCCTCTGACAATACAGGCGGGGGAGCGGGCAGGAGATGGAGTGGAGGCGGTCGATGTGACGAACGCCACCCAGAGGTGCCGGCTTCAGTTCTCCCCCCCGCCCCCCACCAAATGAGGCACTTCCACTTTCAGTGAATGGGCACACCGCAAAGCTGTGAGAATATCTCCCAGCAAGAGGTGGTTGTCGTTGACAGGAAAATGTATTAATGATTGAGATCCAGTAACACCAGTTAAGGGTTTTAGAGGGCAGTTACGAATTTCTTAGCAATGGACGTTTCTTTCCATTGGGTTGATTACGAACAAGTATAGCTTTTTCCACGAGTCTACAAAAAGTACTACAATTATCCGCAAATATGACGGGTCAATTCTGTTATTCCACGTAACAGAATTTACTTTCTTTTATACCTCTGCGAATTTGATTGTTTTTCGTATTTTATACCTCTGCATAGTAAATGCCTAATATTGACTTAGAAAGCAGAAGCTAACTACATAGTCCTTCCAGAGTGCAACTTTTCTCTTTATTGTTATCTGATCCAAAAGCGAGCTTTGAAAAGCAACATACGAATCATTGACAGGAGTTGCTCTTGCATTCTTTTCAATATTTCTGCAACTTTTACCACAAGTTCTTCATTGGGTATTGATTTCTGGAAAGGTGTTGCTGTAGTTTAAAAATTGCAAGTCAACGTCATTAACGCTTTAAATATTTTGTGAAATTATTAAAGAGTGGTAAATACGACATTAACTTCAGTATTATATATTCATAAAACGTCTGCAAAACAGAGCAGGTATTTTCAGCATTAT